TTCTATTCCAGTATCATCCTATTTTTTCTGGCTCATCTTGGTTCAGTTTCTTTCAATATTCCATCAGTTATGTCAGGTTTTAGTTAATTATTTTTGTCCCTTTTCTGTTTGGTTTTAATAGATGCAATCCCATTTTCCAGACACATCCCATTTTCCTAGCAAGCCCTGACTTCGCTTTAAGTAATTATAAGAGGAAGTTGCATCCTGAATTTTATGGTCTTTAGGAGAAATTCCTGATCAAAGAAACAAACAGGCAAACTCTAAAAATTATAGTAGATCTTAAAGAACTGAATGTGGAAAATGTTTTTTAAAAATCCAAATGAGACTGCATATATTGAAAATGGGTAAACACAAATTAAAGACAAGGTGGACAAGGTAATACTTTTAACTGAAACAACTTCTGTTTGTAAGATAAATATGCTTTCAAGCGTACACACAGCCTTTCTTCAGGTTACAGAAGATTGCATATGTGAAAACAAATAAGGCCAAATTTTTAAATGCCGGCAGTTCGAACCCCATGCAGCGCGGCTACACATGGCATGGAGTAGCTAGTTCGGATTAGGCTTCCTAATCCGAACTAGCTGTACTCCTCATGGAATGAGGAATGAGGAGTACAGCTAGTTCGGATTAGGAAGCCTAATCCGAACTAGCTACTCCATGCCATGTGTAGCCGCGCTGCATGGGGTTCGAACTGCCGGCATTTAAAAATTTGGCCTTATTTGTTTTCACATATGCAATCTTCTGTAACCTGAAGAAAGGCTGTGTGTACGCTTGAAAGCATATTTATCTTACAAACAGAAGTGCCGTGTTAGTCAGATCTTGCTGAAACAAAAGAGAGGACTATGCAGCACTTTAAAGACTAAAAAGATGGTTTATTAGGTGATGAACCTTTGCGGGCCAGACCCACTTCCTCAGATCAAATTCTGGAAGAGAATTGGCATAGCCATATATACAGAATGCAGAGCAGTTGAATACCTTTTCCCAAGAAAAACTTGTAGGCTACGTCTACACTGACATGAATTTCCGGAAATGCTTTTAACGGAAAAGTTTTCCATTAAAAGCATTTTCGGAAAAGCGCATCTAGATTGGCAGGACGCTTTTCCGCAAAAGCACTTTTTGCGGAAAAGCATCCGTGGCCAATCTAGAGGTGCTTTTCCGCAAAAAAGCCCTGATCGCCATTTTCGCGATCGGGGCTTTTTTGTGGAAAACAAATCTCTGCTGTCTACACTGTCCCTTTTGTGCAAAAGTTTTTCGGAAAAAGACTTTTGCCCGAACAGGAGCAGCATAGTATTTCCTCAAAAACACTGACAATCTTACATGAGATCGTCAGTGCTTTTGCGGAAATTCAAGCGGCCAGTGTAGACAGCTGGCAAGTTTTTCCAGAAAAGCGACTGCTTTTCCGGAAAAAGTGGCCAGTGTAGACACAGCTGTAGTATAGACATAGTCTGAGTCAGGCTAAATGCCCTTCAAGCATGAGCTGTAAAACTGGTTCAATCTGTATCTCCCCACTGTTTCAATAAAAAAGCTAATGACAGACTCCATAAGAACTGATCTGATGAGGTTCAACAAGAACAAGTGGAGAGTCCTGTACTTGGGACGGAAGAATCCCAAGCATTGTTATAGGCTGCGGACTGACTGGCTAAGGAGCAGTTCAGCAGAAGAGGATCTGTGGATTACAGTGGATGAGAAGCAGGATATGAGTCAACAGTGTGCCCTCGTAGCCAAGAAGGCTAATGGCATATTAGGGTGCACTAGGAGGACCATTTCCAGCAAATATAGAGAACTGATTATTGTCCTTTATTTGGCACTGGTGAGGCCACATCTGTAGCATTGCATCTAGTTCTGGGGCCCCCACTACAGAAAAGATGTGGGCGCTTTGGAAAGGGTGCAGCAGAGGGCAACAAAAATGTTTAGGAGGCAGGAGCACATGACGTAAGAAGGCGAGACTTAGGGATTTGGGCAGGATTTCGTCTGCAGGAGGAGGGATTTGATAGCAGCCTTTAACTACCTGAAGGGACTCTTAGTCATGGTTTATGTTTCTGCATGCTATTTGTATGGTTTTCCCAAAATAATACCAAGTTACTTCCCTCCCTTTTCATTAAAAGTTTCTCTTCTACGCTCAGGCTCTGGGATGGCGAGAGGGGAAGCATTGCCTCCCAGAGGCAACCCTTGAAACAATGTGTCACATCTGATTATTGCGGAAAGCAAATGTACATGCTAGGGATATGGACAAGAGACTCACATACACATTCAGTTTCTAAGCTAATACCTGAGAACAGTTTTAGCGCTGGATATAATAGTGAGGGTATAGGAAATCTACACTACTGTGTGAAAGGGGTAACTGAGGCACGCCAACTCATGGTGTTGGTGGCTAAAAGCCAAGGTACCTACACTTTTAAAGATGATGACCTTGCTGTTTGCATTCTGGGGGCAGTCCTACACCCCAGAAAAATTTTCTCACTAGGGGGACAGGAAGCTAGAACTCTGGAAAGACACTTATAATAGCATCACAGAGTTTAATGATATTGGGTGATGTGTAACTAAAACCAAACAGAATTTCTGAGCACACTGCCCCTCCATCAGACACTGTCCAACCCTCTAACAGTGAATTCAGGGGAGAGGTGTGACACTGTGCCCCATAATTTTTATGGAAATATGTTTTGAATATATATAACTCAAATACGATTTATGTAAAACAGAGCAAGCAACCTATCAGTCAAGATTTTGTAGTCTCTAAATGTGTAGATTCTGTGCATGTGTGTGTGCGTGTGAGCATGCAAAATATAAGAGATTCTAGGGTGTGTCGCTAAGATGGTCAAAATAGCACAAATTGGTTAGAAACAGGGCTTCTTACTGCCCAAAACTGGGGTTCCTCAATATAGGGTACATGAAACCAGCAACGAAGAACACTGCTCTTTGTACACTGGCCAGCAAGGAATCACAAAAGCAACCCCCTTAGACATTTCAGTTTCTCCCATGCCACAACCTATAGCACTCCTTAGACAGATGAGATGTTATGAAAACCATTCTCAACAAATCTGATCAGGTTCTTCCAATCTCAAAGGACCAGCCACATTCCCAGATCAATTTACACGTCAGATCTTATCCAAAAGATCACACTATGCCAGTCCTTTAGAATCTAAAATCTACATGGTTATTCATAAAGGAGAGAAAGAAAAGATTGATAAGTAAAATTATTACAGGAAACAAATGATATACGCCGGTTATAAAGTTGTTGGTGCAAGCTTGTAGTAGAGATGGAATAATGTGCTATCTTTAAAGTCTCTGGAATACTTCCTCTTTTAGGGTGGGTTATCAGTCCTTTCCGGCTCAGTTCATAACAAAGAGGCTTCTGAAGTGAGGAGCTAGAATGAAGACCAAGATGGAGGAATTCCCACAATCCTCTTTATACCCTTGCCCGTGTGAAGAGAATTCCATTGTTTTCCTTGTGTGAAAGTATGTCCAAGATGGCGTTTGTCACATGAGCAAGTCACTCGTACATGCATGACACAATCCTTTCCTAGGTAAGTAACCATGGTACATGCTGGTCTGAAGGATCACAGGAAAGTTCCTCCGTTGTGGATTGGCACCAATTAAAGGTCCATTGTACTCAGATTCACTTGCCTGGCCACTTTTTCACAGTAGGTCAGCAAAACCTGTTGATATCTCCCAGAAGCAAACATTTGAAATACAAGTATGTAGCTAAGGCTGATAACTTCAAATAGAAAAAACATACATATATAAACAGAATCAGCGAGTCATAGGCTTTCAGTAGATACTTCAATTTTCACACTTTGAGCAAGATTTAGTGCAAACATGTAACAGTGGTTGAAACAGTGTTTTGTATGGTCATATCAGAACCCAGTTACATCACAGTGGGCAGATATCTTCCATGTACATGAAGTTAGAAATATGAAGTGTAAGCCTGCTTATTAATCAAGGATCTTTCCCAGGTGTCAGCTTTTACCTACGATACCGCTGTCAAATTTCCTGGCCTTGGTATCCCTGGAGCAAGAGTCTGACCCAGAAATCCTATCTGAAGTCAAGTTCTGTGCATTTTTCTTTCCAAGATTCCCATTGTCCCAAGGGAGGATTCAACAGATGGAGTTTCAGACCTGAAAATTGAAGTGTCATGTTGGACTTTTCTACCATTCTCAGACATGATGAGTTCAGGGTGTTTTCAGCCTGGCTCATGCTGACAGAACTTGGGGAGAGAAACCAGAACAGCCTTTTTAGCCAGGGGTCAGTCAGGGACTCCATGACCCCGAAGGAGAGAGATTCCAGCCAGAAAAGACAGAGCAAAGGGACCAGAGAGCTTCAGGCCTGTGGCTGGGCCTGGCCCCAGAGTTGGTGAGGAGATGGGGGTAGCTGGAGTGGGAGATTGGGTTGCTTATATCCTCTCACTTCCCCCCTCTGCAGGATTCGGGGGGGACGGGACATGGAAGGTGTCCAAGTGGTGAAGATTGCAGGCTGCACAGGGAGGGCTGAGTATGACTGTTGGTGTATCTAATAGGGTGGGGATGGATCAATGCTGAAGGGTCACTGGGAGATTAGGTTGGGGCATTAGGACTAAGGGTATGTCTACACTACCCTCCTAGCTGAGGAGCTCTGACAGAGGTGACTAAGGGTGCTCTGGTGTGTGTGGGAGTCCAAATCTGAAATATTAGGGGCTGTGGTTGAGCACAGAGAGAACCCCGTGCAGCGCGGCTACACGGGGCACGAACTAGGTAGTTCGAACTAGGCTTCCTAGTTCGAACTACCATTACTCCTCATTATGTAGCAATATCTGATCAGCTGTTTGTCGGCTCAGCGCAGCAGCCATGTAAATTTAAATGAAGCGGCGATTATTTAAATCGTCGCTTCATTTTCCTTTGCCTGGTAGCCTAATCTACATGCCTCTGGTGACAGAGGCATGTAGTCTAGACGTACCCTCAGGGATTATCCCAGTCCCTGATTATAAGAAGAAATGGTTACTCACCCAGTGCAGTAACTGTGGTCCTTCGAGATGTGTCCCTATGGGTGCTCCACTATTCACCCTCTGTCCCTTCTGGTTTGGAGTTCTTTGCAAAGGTGTTTTATGGCACAGAAGGGACTGAGGGTGGTTTGCCCATGCAGTGCTATATAACTGGCAGGAGACATGCGCTGACTAGCACACATGCATGAGCTCCAAAGAAACTGCTCTGAGAAATATCCAGTCAAAGGTGCAGAGGTTGCTAGTGCACCTTGAATGGAGCACCCGCAGGGACACTAACCGAAGAACCAACCCTTCCGAGGCACTGAAAAGGAAAAGACAAAAGGGTTAGTCAGAGCGGCCCAGTGTAATGTTTTGTACCTCAGAACGACACCCCACAGCCACACTCCCAGCCCCAGTGCAGAAAACAGCAGCTATGATAGGAGCTGAGCTGGTGGTTATTGAAATGCACTAAAATTCAGGAGCCCTGACATTTGCAAAATATTTAACCTTGAAGGAAAACATGGCTCGTGTTCCTGATACAGCTCTAAGGGAACTTCTGTCTAAGAGGAATTCCTTGTCTATGTTACTAATAGTCCTTTGGACCATCAAAGCTACACAATCAGGATATACCTAGGGAAAGGTCATGCTGATTACTGGGGCTCACATTTGGGATCTGACCTTCTTATCAAATTATGGAAACGTAAGTCATACTCTGGGAAATAGCCCAGCAGAGCCTACACTCCAGCCATTATCTGTAGAAAGTAACTGGTCCAGTTCTGTTCAACCAGGCACTGGCTTGTCAAATGCCAGGTGATACCTCTCTATCTATTCAGACATGAGCACACGAAACCCTGTGTCTGCTGCAGGGAGCTCACAGTACTGCCGTGAGCTTGGGGTAAAAAATATGACTCTACTTTTGGCTCAAACTGCTCCCTCAGCCTTGTCCTATTGGTGCTTCTAGAACTGCTCAGCACCTTGTGTGGCTAAGAGCCTCTGCCCAGGGGCTCTAGTAAAGAGGTGGATAAACTTACCAGTCTTCTGTCGCAGCTCCTGGCACTCTGGGGAGAGAAGAAAAGAAGGTCATCATTGGTTCAGTGTGGCTATATCTACACTACCTGTCGCGTCCAGGGAACATGTCCATTTTTTCAGAACAGTTTCCAAAAAAGCAGGTGCATTCTTTTGGAAGCCCTGTATTCCTCATCTTATGAGCTATAAGGGATCTTCCAAGAGAGGAGGTTTTTCCCACATTTGGCACCATGTAGATGGTCCAAGTGTTGGAAAAACCTCTTCTGGAAAAAAAATGGAAAAAGAACCCAGTGTAGACATAGCCTGTGGTTCATTCTGAGGACAGTGACTGGGCTTATTCACACTTTGAATACATCAACAGTACAGCTGGGAAGGCACTTCCAGTTTTGACAGGCAGATGAGTGGTAAATTAGTTCAAGCAAGTATGCTAAAGGGAGGAAGGTAAAAGGAAGTTGGAGGAGTGATGGGACAGCACCCCCAGCTCAGCAGGGAATGGGAAGGAAGGAGTGTCAAACCAGAATATGCAGGCTCACCAGGCCTCAGACCTCCTAGTTCTAGGCATGGTGCTGATTTGAACAAGTGTGTAGCTGCAGGGTTGGCAGGATGTTAGCTGGGGAAGGGCTCCATGGTGCTGTGTGGCATGGGATTTACTGTCCACCCCTAGAAATGTGGTGTGAGGTTCTGTCTTGGCTTCCAGTGGAAATATGTGGGTGGTGGGCCCATCAGAGTGAAGCTCACATAGAGGGAAAAGGGCTTTGGAGACACCATTAGTTTGAGGCCCAGGCTTAGACTAAGAGGTGTGGGGAGGGGCAGGAACAGGAAAGTACTGAGAAGCTGAGACAAAAGGAAATTACTCACCCTGTGCAGTAACAAGGGTTCTTTGAGGTATGTGTCCCAATGTATGCTCCATTGTTGGTGACAGGTCATCTCGGAGCCACAGATCAGTTTTTTTTGAGCAGTTGTCAGCAGGCCACACAAGCATGGAAAGCACCTCACACTGCTCTCACTTTGCCACCTTGTGCACAAGGCCTGACCCTCCCCTTCAGGTCCTCATCTATGCCTGAGTAACTAAGACTCCCAGGAGAAGGGCGAAAGGGAGAATCGTAGAGCATCCACGGGGACACACACCTTGAAGAACAGTCATTACTGCACAGGGTGAGTAACTTCCTTTTCTTCTTTGGATCATGTTCCCATGGGTGCTCCACTTTTGGTGACTACAAAACAATACTCAGTGTGGAATCAGAGTCACTGCTTGGTGGCTGAAGATAGGTCCGCTGTAGCCACCACCATATCCTTTGCCAGTTTAGGTACTATGGCATGGTGCCTGGCATAGATGTGGTTCAACAACCAAGTGGCTGCTCACTAAATATCCTTATGGGCCACATTGCTTAGGAAAGCCATGGAGGTTGCAGTAGCATGAGTGGAATGTGCCCTTGGGATGGTCAATAGTTTGTTATGAAGGGAATGGCATCACAGTATACATGATGATATCTATTTGGAGATCTGTTGGATGGAAATTGGGTTGCCCTTTGAATGTGCTGTGATGGATATCAAGAGCTGTGGGGACTTCTGGTATGATTGTGTCCTAGCTACATAAAAAGCCAGAGCTCTGTGAATGTCCAGGGTCTGGAGCATAGCATCCCTGGATAACACGCATGGGAACCACACCCAGAGGTGCTTTCTTCCATATTTCACTGCTGGGAATATCCATCAGTAGATCTCTTTGCAGCCCCCAACAATGCCAAGTGCCCACATTTCTGCTCCTGGGCAGGTCTGGGCAAAGGATCCCTTGGCAATGTATGCCTAACCCATTGGAAAGAGCTGCTACATTATACCTTTCCACCCATCCTGCTCATTCCCAGAGTCCTGTGCAAGATCCAGACTGACGGAGTTTAAGTCACTTGATGTTCATTGCACCATCTTATCCTCTTCCATCCCATCATGTCATTTTCTTCCAGGATGGGAGTGAACTCCTTCACACCCAACCCCACACTCTACCTGCATGTGTGTCTCCTATCTGGTTCCACAGGTCAGATTCCCTATGCTCAGAATGATGAGATCCATTCTTCTATACATCAGAAGGGCATCCACCAGAGCCACTTACTTGCAGAAATGAAAGTGGTTCTCCTCTTGGTGTTAGCAGGCTGAAACTGATCCTCATAACAGATCACTCAATTGTGTCCTTGAGCAGAAGTGCGGACACTTCGAATTGTTGGGGGCTGCAAAGAGATCTATTGATGGATATCCCTGGCAGTGAAAGATGTAAGCAAGCACCGCTGGGTGTGGTTCTCATTCATGGTCCTTGGAATGACTGTGGTTCAGGGCATCCGCCCTGTTGTTGTGTGGTAAACATCTGCCCTGAATAGCATGGTGGGCTCCTGCCCAGGAAAAAGGCATCCAAAGTGATCTGTACCAATGGTTCCTCATTGCAGGAAAAATAACAGGTAGTTAGAAATAGGGCTTTATTTTGAACGCCCATTTCACTGCCACAAGTAGATGCGGGCAGTTATTCCAGATTTGTAAATTTCAAAAAATGGCGCCTGGCCGGGAAGATGCAAATCAAGCTCGGGATATTTAAATCCCAGGCTTGATTTGCAATTCCGAATGCCTACATTTGCAGCCCTATTCCGAAATAGGCTGCAAGTGTAGACATACCCAGAGTTGTCAAAGTATGGAAAAATCACTTCTCTTTGCTGGCAGAGGTAGTCGGTGACTGCAGCAAGGAGATTTGAGAAGTGCTGGGGTGGAGAAGTCCAAAAGATAGTACTCTGTACTGGAAGTAGTTGTCACCTCACTTGAATGGAAGGTACCATCTGTGTAACAGATGTATGGTGATGTAAAAGTATGTGTCCTGTAGGTCGAGGGCTGAGAGCCAGTCCCCTTCATCTAGTGTCGGCATAATGAAAGCCAATGTTGCCATCTTGAATTTTTGCTTCTGCAGGAATTTGTTTAGCTTACAGAGATCTGGTATGGGTCTCCAGCCCCCTGTGTACGTCTGATTCAGGAAGTATCATAGAATCATAGAACTGGAAGAGACCTCAGAAGGTCATGAAGTCCAGCTCCCTGCTCTAGGCAGGACCAATTCCAACTAAATCAACCCAGCCAGGGCTTTGTCAAGCCGAGACTTAAACACCTCTAGGGATGGAGACTCCACTACTTCCCTAGGTAACCCATTCCAGTGCTTCACTACCCTCCTAGTGAAATAGTTTTTCCTAATATCCAACCTGGACCTCTCCCACCACAACTTGAGACCATTGCTCCTTGTTCTGCAATCTGTCACTACTGAAAACAGCCTTTCTCCATCCTCTTTGGAACCTCCCTTCAGGAAGTTGAAGGCTGCTATCAAGTCCCCCCTCACTCTTCGCTTCTGCAGACTAAACAGACCCAAGTCCCTCAGCCTCTCCTCATAAATCATATGCTCCAGCCCCCTAATCATTTTGGTTGCCCTTCGCTGGACCCTCTCCAATGTGTCCACATCCTTTTTGTAGTGGGGGGCCCAGAACTGGACACAATACTCCAGATGTGGCCTCACCAAAGCCGAATAAAGGGTAATAATGACATCTCGGGATCTGCTGGCAATGCTCCTCTTAATGCAACCTAATATGCCATTGGCCTTCTTGGCTAAAAGGGCACACTGTTGACTCATATCCAGCTTCTCATCCACTGTAACCCCCAGGTCCCTTTCTGCAGAACTACTACTTAACTGGTTGGTCCTCAGCTTGTAACTATGCTTGGGATTCTTCTGTCCCAAGTGCAGAACTCTACACTTGTCCAACTCATCAGATTTCTTGTTGCCCAATCCTCCAATTTGTCTGAGTCATTCTGGACCCTGTCTCTGCCCTTAAGCGATCTACCCTCCCCCCAGCTTAGTGTCATCCAAAAACTTGCTGAGGGTGCAATCCATCCCCGCATCCAGGTCATTAATAAAGATGTTGAACAAAACCGGTCCCAGAACCAAACCTTGGGGCACTCCGCTAGAAACCGACCGCCATCCTGACATCGAACCGTTGATCACTACCCGCTGGGCCCGGCTTTCTAGCCATCTTTCTATCCATCTTACCATCCATTTATCCAATCCACATTCCCTTAACTTGCTGGCAAGAATATTGTGGGAGACCGTATCAAAAGCCTTGCTAAAGTCAAGGTATATAACATCCACTGACTTCCCCATGTCCACCGAGCCAGTTACCTCATCATAGAAGCTAATCAGATTGGTCAGGCACGACTTGCCCTTTGTGAATCCATGCTGACTATTCCTAATTGCTTTCATTTCTTCCAAGTGCCTCAATATGGATTTTTTAAGGATCCCTTCCATGATTTTTCCAGGGACCGAGGTAAGACTGACCGGCCTATAGTTCCCTGGATTGTCCTTCTTCCCTTTTTTGAAGATGGGCACTACATTTGCCTTTTTCCAATTATCCAGGATTTCTCCCGATCTCCACAACTTTTCAAATATAATAGCCAAAGGCTCCTCAATGATATTTGTCAACTCACTCAGTACCCTCTGATGCACTAAGTCCGGACTGTCGAAGCAAAAACACGCTCCTCTCTGTTTAGGTGGCTGCTTCTACAGGACCCATGGATTTATGTATATTTAGCTTTTCTAAATAGTTCCTAACCTGTTCTTTACCCACCAAGGGCTGTCCATCTTCATCCCATCTTGTGTCACTTAGCGCAGAAGTCCAGGAGCCGACCTTGTCCGTGAATACAGAGGCAAAGAAAGCATTGAGTACTTCAGCTTTCCCCAAATCATCTGTCACTGGGTTACCTCCTTCATCCATTAGGGTCCTCACACCCTCTCTGATCACCTTCTTCTTAACATGCCTATAGAAACCTTTCTTGTTATCCTTCACATCCTTAGCCAGTCGCAATTCAATTTGCGCTATCGCCTTCCTGATAACCCCCCGGCATTCTAGAGCTATATCCTTAAACTCCTCCCTGGTCATTTGTCCAAGTTTCCACTTTTTGTAAGCTTTCTTTTTGTGCTTAAGTTCACCAAGGATTTCCCCTGTAAGCCAATCCGGTCTCCTAC